CCTGCCCTGGCTGGAGGTGCTCGCCTCGTCCAACACGTCCTTCTTCATGAGGAAGGGCAGGTGGTGGGTGATGGTCAGCAGGATCTTCTCCGCTTGCTCCCGGGTCAGGTGGGGCAGCAGCCGGGCCGTGAGCTTCTTGCCCTTCTGCACACACAGGAGTTGCAGGAATTCATCCTCTGCCTCCCTGGGGATGAAGGCTCCATTGGCACAGATCCCAAGTGACCTGTAGCGTCTCTGTCCATCCAGAAGGACCAGCATCAGCTCCAGTGGAGGACGAGGCTCATGGGCAGGGTCAGCACAGGCCGCAGTGATACACGGAGGACAGGATCCAACCCTCGCCGTCACCCAGAACTACTCATCCATGACCAACTGAGCCCCATGAGGACCTGGACGTGCCACCCGCTCCCGGCTCCTCAACGGCACAAACTCACTCTTCACTGCTGCAAGCCCTGATTTTCAAGGCTTGGTAGATACGCTCCACTTCTTGGCTCTTCTGCTCCTGACAGCAGGGCTGCTGCTCCTCCAGGGCCAGAGACATCTTCCGCTGCATCTCCTCCACTTCCAGCAGCTGCAGGAAGAGCTGGAGAAACCACATGGGGTAAGGAGGCAGCTTGGAGCATCCTCTGCCTGCCAGTTATCCAGGACCTCTGCCCAGGCAGACATCCCCTCTCAGAGCTCCTCGGATGAAAAGCAAGCATCTACATCGCCCTGAACGGTGGCTCGCTCACCTTCTCGATCCTGTGCAGCGCCCGAAGCCGGTGGCTCCCCGCAGCCTTCAGGAGGGGAGAAAGGAAGGCACAACAGTTACAGCCAGCACCAGACACCGCCGCCAGCAGAGCGCTGGGCCAGCTGCTCCCTGGGGATCAGAGGCGGCTTCAGGATACAGAGCAATCCCACGGGGCAGCCACGGCCAGCTCTGACTGCCCAGAGCCCCATCCCACCCCTTGGCAGGGGACAAGCTGCCACCACCGAGGCGGCACCTGCTCCAACTGCATGCTCCATCCCACGGCTCGGGGCAGCACCCAGAGCCGGGGTGGCACCCATGCTCGGTCACAGAAGCTCCTAAAGCTCCTGCTAAAGCTGCTCCAGGGCCTGGGGAAAGCTCGGAGCAGTGTCCCCAAGCATCCGGGGCACCCACCAGCCCGGCCTCCCCCTCACCTACCTCCTCCACGAGGGCATGGTGCACAGCATCAATGGCCCGGCGAGGGCTGTAGCAGGTGGACACCGCGACCTGGCCCAGCGAGCCCGCGATGCGCACCACTAGAAGAGAGATGAAACGCAGTGAAACCGCGTCCCGCAACCCCTTGCCTGGCCCCCCGCCCCAGGCCCTCACCAGAGTCGTACGTCTCCACTTTCTGGATGAACGGCGTGACCAGCTTGGGGGGCTCCTGCTTGTTGCGCCGGCCGAGCAGCTCCTCTTCCACCTGTTTGTGCTCCAGTCGCTGGTAGTATGTCTGTAATGACAGGCATAGCCAGGAGGGGAGCCAGCACGAGGCTGGGCATCATCTGGCTCCCAAAGGGATGAAGCCCCAGCCCCGAGGAGCAGGATGAGGCCCTCGTACTGCCAGCAGGAGCTCACCTGGTAGTAGTAGTCATCATCCATGTTCTCACTCTGCAGCTGGATCATCTCCACCTTGATGACCCAGTCCTTCTCCTTGGAGGTCATCAGCCCAGAGTAAGGGTCCATTTTAGGAGACCACAGCTTCTTGGGGGAGGTGCTGGCATGGGAGAAGATCACAGCCTGCTGTGACAGCCTAGAGCCCCACCACCACCCCACAGCTCCCCGGGGACCCAGGACCCCCTTACCTCTGCGCCTGCCCACCTTGCTGCTGCCGCTGGGTCAGGATCCGCTGGTGCTGGGGGTGCAGCTGGGTCATATGGCTGGGCGCGCTGCAAAGGAGACTGACGGGGGTCAGGGGGCTCAGCACCCACACTAGAGCCATCCCCAGAGGGGGCACCCCCCCCAGCTGCTTTGTGGGGCTCCTCCGGTCCCACCCGGGCACCCCACTTGCCATCCTGCTACCTGAGGTTCAGTTGGCTGCTGGCTGACGGACTGAAGAAGAGAGCAGGGTCCAAAGAGGGAGACATAGGACCGAAGTGCATGGCGAGAGGCCGCGGCGGGCTGCTGATGTTGGGCGACATGGGCCGGAAAGGGGTCGGAGCCGCGTACCCTGTGGTCTGGAGAGGGAGAGAGAGAAGCGATCAAGTGTCTGAGCCTTCCCCTCCGAGGGTCCCGGCGAGGTCTGCAAGCTCCATGCTGTCTTCTGGCTCCCATCCTCGCAGGGGCCACCCCCTCCCTGCACGGAGGGGACGCGTGGGGCACCACGGCAAGGTGACTCCCTCCAGGATCCTGCCGCTAAGGCTGGGCAAAGCAAGGGGACCCTGGTGTCACCAGGGATTGCACGCCCCAGGTCCATCACCAGTGTCCCAGAGTGACACCAAGCACAACACCATGCCTGGTGCAGGTCCCGTGAGGACATGAGGACAAATAGATTTATGAAGCAATGGCTACACCAGTAGCTCCGCTTTCCCCATCAGCAAGACACTGGAGACGTGCGCTCAGGATTAGACAGAGCTGCAAAGTCTGCCCTGGATGGCAGAGCTTGGGGGGGGCACCGTCCCCGTCCCCTGCCACTCCAGGGCCACGGCGATGGCTCACAGCCCGCTGCGTTACCTGGTTGGAAGCAAAGAGCGGAGAGGGTCTGCGAGCTGGCGTGAAGGGCCGAGGGGAGCACGGTGAACGAGGCATCAGAGGCGACTGCTGCAGGGCAGGAGACGGGAGGTGTCGCTAGGACAAGCCTGTCCTCAAAGCTGCACCTCTTGGGAGGGAAGGGCAGAGGAAGAGGGAATGCAAGAGCCCCCCAAAACCTGTTACCTGCCGGAGAAAGCGCTGGGGGAAGGACTTGGGGGACATCAGTCTGAAGTCGGGGCGTTTGAGCCGGGGAGAGCCCCCATAGCCCCTCTGCATGGGGGAGCCGAGGAAGTCAAGGGCCACGTTGGTGGATGGTGGGGCCCTCTCCAGGACCTGGAGGATGGCTTTATCCTGCAGGGAGGAGGCAGCAGGAGGTGGGAACGGGGCCCAGCTGGGATCAGTTTAGCTCCCCCAGCATCAGGCAGCTCACCAAAGCCTTTGGCTGTTGCTCAACCAGACCATGCACCGGGCCAGGCTCCCATCCTGGCGGCATGCAACAGCAGGGGACCCACAGGGACACCCAGTATGGGGGTCCCAGTCTCCACCAAACACAACAGCTTTACCTTCAAACCCAGACTCTGCTTAGGGTGGGCACCTTGGCACAGCCTTGGCACCCAAGAGACACGTCCTTGCACCCCCAGACCCACGATGAGGCTTTGGAGATCCCCCGGTCCCCCCAAATCGCCTGCATGACCCTTGGCCCAGGGTAGCAGGAAGCCCTCAGCCACTCCCCGAGGGTCTGGCT